AATATTGAGTTGTGAAAGAGTCTTTGAGTTGGGATACATATATCCAAAGTTGGATTCCAAAGAGGAAAGGACATCCCTTAGGGGATAGTTCTTTTTTATTTGGAAGCCCAAATTTAAATCATTTCAATACCCCTTAGAGGGATAGTCCTTTTCCATTTGAAAGCTCAAATTTGGATCATTTTAATACCCAAAGAGAAAAAGAATAATATCTCTCAAGGGGAAGAGTTTTCTTTTCCGTTTGGGTATCCGGGTACAATGAATCCAAGGAGCCGGAATAGGAGAAGATCGAGGAATTGAAGACATAGAGTATCCTACTCAAAGTCACTTACATTTATCTTAGGATTAGAATCCTGGTTTATGGTTAGTGGTGCCCGACCACTTCTAATTTCTGTAATTTTTGGTTATAATAAATGGGGCATTTTCCTACAGACTTTATTTTAAGGAATGAATTATATTGATTGATGTGATTAATTTGATTTAATTGTGTATAGAATTGTCTACTTTTACTATTTTTTTGGCAATTATATATCATTTTTGTTTTAGCCTAGATAGGTGGAGGTTTTTGCAGGCACGTATAAAAATGTTCAATTTAAATTTAAATAAAATTTTTAAGATAATATAGAAACTTAACGACCTAAGAAGTAAGCCTATGACAGCCAATAGTTCTCATAAGCATATTATTACCTTCTAAATCTTGTTAGGAACCTTCCTGCCTACAAGTTCTAACAGACCAACTGGCCTTTGAGGGAACATATTTGTCAAGTGGATGCTATATAATCTCTAGAGGAAAATATTTTTTAAGTCTTTTTCAAAAAATGCTACATACTCATTTTATGCATTTAATCAAGTTGATCATCATTAATTGCATTAGAAATAAATTAAATGAGTCTAATTATTTGATTATATTTGTTTTAAGCATTTTAACCCTGCATAAGTCAAGGGATAAATTAGGATCCGCTCAAGACGTCGGCCTTAATTCTCAAAAAACTTTAATAATAATGTCCCCACCACTCTTTCATAAAGACCAGATTCATGGATTTAAAATTGACTAGGTGGTTAGCTAGCTCCCTGATTCAGGCTGGGGTATGTTTAGGTTTTGCACTGCATTAGTTAAGTTTGAACTAATGTGTTCATGTGTCCAAATTTAGATTTAAGATTTGGGGCAGATTTTGAATCATAAGACCCGAATCTCTAGGAATATAATCCCAAATTTCTAATAAAATAATCAACTTAAATTAAAATTTCTCTCAAACCAAAATTTAAAGCCAAGTACTTAGATTAGGTTGGGGAACTTCTGAATTATTTTAGAATCCCAAAGTGTTTCCTAACTTTCTTCCTTTGACTACAAAATTAAGTGATCAATATTGCTCCAATCCCATTTAGAATTCCAGTTTCACCTCCTTTGCTATTCACTCCTAAGAATCTCTAAATAAAACTTTTGTCGTTGTTTTAATCGAGAGTTTTCATAGTTGGTTTTCTATGATGTAATTAACTACGAGGGCTTACGCTCATAGAAGATTTAGAACCTACACCATTTTTTCAAAACTTAATTAATATTTCTTTTAGTAAATCAAATTTATAATGATCGTCATCATCATAATCGAATAATTACTAACATATGATATCTTCTATCTTCAGGGAGGTATATCATGTGTTATCGTAGTCAGATATTTAACTAAACTTCATTTTGACCCTCTGGGGTCATAAGTGGTTCTCCCTTAAATCAAGCTACGATATTCAAGAGAAAATTTACAATTCTGAATCTAAATCCGTTAGGAGATTTTATCCCCACCTTTCAAGGTGGTATATTATCCCTAATAGTTTGTTTGACTTCATAATTTAAATTTAAATTTAAATCCTATTTTTCTCAAAGAAATTTAATTTAGATTTATTTCGCGCCTTACTAGACATTGTAATTGTTAATTTCTTTCACTAAATATATATTTATTATTTTGATGATTTATAGAAAATCTAATTGATTAATTAGGAAGATAAAATAGATAATTCATTCAAATTTGATTCTGGGTCGTTATTATTGATATTAGAGTAGTTATTGGATGAATTAAAATAAAATCAGAGCTCTAAAAATTGATTATGAGCATATAAATTAAAGTGAATGGTTTGCATTCGTATTTGTGAATGATATGTGATTGAGTAAATTGTATGAGTGTATGATAGGAATTGATTGAGTTCGATGAGTGTTGATTTGTGATTTATTTCGATTCAATTTAAGTTTTGATCTAACGGAATCTTTTTCGTGCCAAAATCCTTAACAAAAATTTCAAAGATGATATTTTTTCTTAGGCGGGTAAATTGTAATAACTCAAAATTTTAAGATGATTTTCTTAAAAATGAAAAAATATGAATTTCAACATCATTTCTTACCAAAGATAAAAGAGAGAGGGAGGAGAGAGAAGTTTGTTCGGAGGTTTCTTTGTCCATCAATTTTGTTTAAAGATTTTTTTTTTTCATTTAGTGTAAGTAACTCAAATCTCATTTTAGTTTTTAATAATTTTGAGTTTGATAAAATTCTTCTCTCCTAAATCAATAAAATTGCATTTTTTCATGATTTATCGAGTTTTTAATTTATAACTTTTTGTATATGAAAGATTTGAATAGTGTGGATATTTTGATAGTAATATCATTGAATTTCACTGGTTATAATTAAAGTTATGATTTTATGAGGTTATAAATATAAATATTTAATTTTTTATATTGAACAATATTTACTATTTCATACTGTATTTTAATTGTGGTATTTGCATAAGCAAATAAGGCTAGCTAACACTATAAAATTGGTTGGTTGTTAAAGTATAATACCATGAGCAATAGGGTAGGATGATAAACTTTCCTTTAAAGATGATTTGTGGTGTAATCCTGGTTGTAGCTTGTAACAGATTATCGAATTATGTAGATGGGCAGAGGGTGATGACTCTTAATGATTATTGAAAGACCTGTAATAATAATGATACAATATGAAAGATAATTATATAAAGAAAGAACATATGAAATGATGAAAGTACCACATTAAAGTTGAATATCCCATATTGCTAAACTATATACTGATGCATATATATACTGATAGCATTAATAAATAGAGTATCAATATGTGTAGATAGATAACATATGAATGGATACAAATATTGATTGCATATAATTGATATGATGGATGTAAGAGGATAAGACTGGTAATATTGACGCATATATACCTTTGATTCTTTTTAGTGACATTTGAATGATCATAGTACTGCAGTTTTATTGATTTACTAATTCTTATGCATGTTATTGATTCCTAGAATCATTATAATGACTTTCCTATTTTTATTATTAATTACTTTGATCTTTACAAATGATAATTAATCATTGATGAGATTAATCTTATTGACTGAACTGAGTATGCATATTGATTCTTCTAGCATTGTATTGAAAGCTTTTAGTTAGTTTGGTTTACTATTGGGCTTTTTAATAATTTCATATCAGAAAAAAGAATAGGAACAATGGAGTGAGATTGATATAGATCATCCATTTTTTTTCTTATTCTTTCGTAGTCAGTAGTTTGTGATAGAGTAATAATTATATTGATTTCATGTCAACTCCTAGCTATTATATATTGATTTTAGAAGAATGAATATATATAGTGTAATATTTTGAGGTAAGCAATTTTAGTTGCTTTCACTAAATATAAATTTATTATTTTGATGATTTAGAGAATCTCTGACTGATTAATTAAGAAGATAAATTAGATACAAATTTGATTATGGGCCATTAAAGTTATGAGCAATGTTATAAAGCCTACATGCTATAGGAGTAGTGCAATATTAAGAAGCAGCCCAACCTCAAGAGCCTACAAGTTGTAGACCAAGACATCTAGACATGACACTTTTTGAGATTAATAAAAGTTATAAAATGAGCTGAAATATAAATATAATTAATTGTGTATTGCAATGTATAAATTACAGATTGAGAGTAATTGACAATGTTTGATTTCCATATTATATGAATTGGTAAGGTATTATGTGATATGATTGGATGTTTACTTCATGTAAACATAATTCTTACATGGGGCATTATATATTATACATATCTTACATATTCTCTGTTAAAGTATTATAAACTCAAGTTAATTACATACAAATCCTTTTTGCAAATGTTAAATTTGGTTTTCCTATACTTGTCTTTTGTATTAGAAATGATCAATCTTTATTAGATTTAAATGATAATTTGACTCTTAATAGGACAAAATGGAAAAAAATGGTTCATGTAATCAACCCCATATAGTGGGATAAAGGCTTCATGCTATTATTGTATACTTGTCTTTTGTATTAGAGTTATAAATCTTTATGGGCAAGATAATTTACCAGAATTTTTATTCATTAAGTTCTTTTAGGGAAGGGAAAGGATAGAGTTAAGCCTGAGTAATGACAGGTCAATTTTTTTTATATTTTCTTTTGGCAATGTAAGGAAGTTCTATATTGAAGTCAGCTATCTGTTGATAGTTAAATATGTTGACTTTCATTTAATCACTTTGTAGATGAAAATTTTGAAATAAAAAGTTGGATAACTTCTCCTTATAATTGAAGGTTTCGATATCTTATGATTATTTTGTATCTTGATGAATCATGAACCGTAAACTGATTTTTGGTTTTCTATGTTTTGTCCCGCGTCCACTGCTAGGTGCGGAATCAATTTGGGCACAACAATGATAATATGTATGTTATTCCAATGATTTATCCTTTTCGACCATGCATTTTGGCACACAATCTAAAGCTTTATTTGGGATAGTTTTTTACTGATTTCTAAAGAAACCTTTTAGTACAAGAATTTTTGGTTCAACGAAGTTTTTACTAAAAAAATGCTTAAAAATCAATAAAAAAGCTGTTTTAAACAAAACCTAAATTTGTAGCTAATGTTTGAACTAAAAGTAGAGAACTGCTTATTATGATCGTAGTACAGATCCTGTATTTTGATGCGTGAACTACACAATGTGGATCCAGGAAATATGAATTAACATCCAGTAAGCTGCTAACAGGAACTTTTTTTTTCAGAATTTGTGAACAGTAAACTAACTTTCAACAAGAAAAAACACAAAATAATGCCTTGATATCGCTCTAATTTCCACAACTACACAGATCATTACATGAAAAAACAAAGTTTCCTCACCAGTAATCCCCGCACGTGCATTTACCATTTGTGAAGTGATGGAACCTTGCATTATCCCTCAAGATAATCTCCCTCCGTTCAATAATGGAAATGTACTTGATGGCATGGTGACAGTCTCCACAGACTCTAAGATTTTTGAACACTCTAACAGGAGTTCCTGGTGAAGTACTGATGAGCGCAAAAGCTATAGCTAGCTTCTCACCATGCTTCATTAGCATCATCTCCTTCTGCTCATCCCCAACATTATGCAACGCATATTCAAGATCAGGCACATACCCAGCTTCCTTCATTCGCTTCCACAATTCATTTAACTTCTTATGTATCAACTCCAAATAGGGATGAAGTCTATCTCCAGATCTGAACTCATGGACAGCTCCGCCAACCTCAATCCAACTGTATCCTGGCGTCTTCACTGCCAGATTCTCCTTCATCCATTTCCTCACTCTTGCAACTTCATCCCATCTGTTCAGAGAAGCATACACATTGGCAAGCTGGACATATGCTCCTGCGTTTCGAGGCTCCAATTCAACCAGCTTTCTTGCAGCAAACTCTGCAAACATTTTGTTCTTGTAGATCCTAGAAGCATTCAATAAAGTACCAAATGTAGATGGTTGTGGCTTGAATGGCACCGAATGGATGAAGTCCACTGCTTTCTTGAGCAAGCCAGCTCGACAAAGGAGATCAACCACGCAAGAGTAGTGTTCAGCACAAGGCTTCACACCATAATCCTCCTCCATTGACTCGAAGTACCTCATCCCAAGATCAACGAATCCTGCATGAATGCATGCGGACAATAACGTGACAAATGTGACCCTGTTAGGATTCAAACCTACATCTTTCATCCTGCCAAACAGATTTATCGCTCTATCTCCATGCCCATGCTGGGCATACCCAGAAATCATCGCGTTCCACGAAATAACATCCTTAACAGGCATTTCATCGAACAGCTTGCAAGCGCTCTCCAAATCTCCGCACTTACAATACATGCTCAATAAGGATGTCCCGACACTTCGATTGATGCTCATCGGAAACTTTGAAACCCACTGATGGATCTGCCTGCCCGACTCTAAGGCTGACGAATTGCTGCAAGCGAGAAGCGAACTGCTCAGGGTCGACGGGTTCGGCTGCACCTCTTCAGCTGAAATCATTATTCGGAATAGCTTCAGCCCTTCCTCGGCCTGTCCGTTCTCAACAAGCCCAGCAATCATCGCATTCCAAGACACCGAATTCCTCACATGCATAGTATCAAATATCTCCCATGCACGTTCGATCATTCCGGCAGACATGAACCCAGCAATCATGGCCGTCAGGAGGACAATATCATTCTTGTCCGGCGCTTGAGAAAAGTACTCCCACGCTGAATGCAGATCTCCGACTTGGATAAAACCAGAGACTATGGCGTTCCAAGAGACATAATTCTTTTCTGGCATAGAGAGAAAAAGTTCTCGTGCTTCATTGATGAGGCCATGACAAGCAAGGCCGGAGACCATGGTGTTCCAGGAGATGGCATCTTTTACCAACATAGAGTCGAAGAGATGGCGCGCCCCGAGGAGGTCGGAGTTGATGAGATGGCAGGAGAGGAGGGTGTTGAAGGATATGACATCTGGTTTAGGAATTCTGTCAAAGAGGTTCAGGGCATCTTTGAGTTTGCCGGGGGACTTGGAGAAGGCGGCGAGGAGGGAGTTCCAGGAGACGATGGTGGGAGAAGGAATGGAGTTGAATACTCTCTGGGCCGAGACAACATCGCCGGTTCGGGCGTGGAAGGCGATTTCGCGGTTGCAGAAAAGAACAGAGGCGAAGGAGGCCGCCGCCGACGAGAAGGTCGGGCTGCGGTGGGAAAAGTATATGGTGTAAAAACCAGAGGCGAGATGCATAAAGCTTATCGCCGGAGTGGCATGGACTCCGGCCCGCTGTCCGCAACTTCCCACCCAGTCCTTTAAAAAAAAATAAAAATAAAAACAATCATGCCCAAATTTCATTAATGTAAGATTACAGATTATTAAACTGCAAAAGTATAAAAAAAATAAGAAAAAATTTTATAATCATAGCAAAACTAACAAGAACTATTAATCAAGACAACCAAAGGACCATCATCAAAATAGAAAAGAACACCATATAATCACCTAAACAATAATGATTAAATAGATAAACAAAAAACTCCAAAAGCTACTAGTAGAATCGACAAGACATACGAATTTGTAGTAAAAAAAAATAGTTGAATCATCAAAATAGAGAACCAGACCCTAACAAATGTATCACAAGATTTGCACATAGAAGTCCACTTCCCCAACTTCAACAAATCATAAATCTATTCAAGCTTCAAAAAAGGCCAACAACTAGCATCAAGAACTTTTTTTAAGATACCAATCCACAAAAAAGAAAGGGATTAATAATGCTTATATTCCGGTCATTAGTGATATGTATGCTGGAGTTATTACTTATGTTCAAACACATGATGGTTTGACCAAGTATTTTTCAATTTCAGTTGGATTACATCAAGGATTTGCCTTAAGCCCATATCTTTTTCTTTAGTCATGGATGTCTTACTAGATATTGCAAGAGGATGTTCCCTTGTGTATGCTTTTTTGCTGACGATATCCTTCTTGTTGATAAGATTAAAGATGTGATTTGAAGGTAAACTTGAATTATAGATGTTAACCTTAGAGTAAAGGTTTTCATTTGTATAGATCTAAAACCGAATACATGGAAATTAATTTTAGTAGTAATAGGGGTGGGGGGTGGGGGGTTGTGACTTTGAGGGATCAAGTCATTAATAAGAGTACACGTTTTAGATATATTAGGTTTATTGTTCAGAGTGATGGTGAAATTGATGGGAATATTATTAGTAGAATTCAAGTTGGATGGATGTAGTGGAGGAATGCATCGGGCTTATTGTGTGATAGAAAAGTAACAGAAAAGGTAGTTTAAATATTTTGCATTTAAGTTATGTATAGTCTCTATCCTCAAAACTTCATTCTTTAATTTAATTGGGTAGTGAAGGAAATTTGGATAAGAAGATAAGAGGCATTACAGAAAAGTTGTATAAGGAAAATTGGGTATTACATGCATTACATATTAAGGTGAGAGTGAAGGAAAATTGGGTAGAATCGAAAAGAGGCATTAAGAAGATACGATGGAGTGATTTTTGCCTCAAAGAAATGCTGGTAGGCTTCTTCATTTTGTTTATAAAGGATGTTATCATGTAGTTGATTAGAACAAAATGAAGAGCCTCTAGAATATCGAGTCCGCTTGCTGTTGTTGCTTGTCATTTGGAGAGTTTTGAACACAAAATGATTTGAGATTGAAAGAGATTGTGAAGAAAACTCTATGGACAACTTCTAATTTAAATAAATTGGGGACATTTATACAATTTTAAACAAGGTTCGTACATATAATTATGATCTCATATGGGAAAAAAAAAATTTCATACATACGAATGGAAATAATCAAGAATGAAATAATTTTTTGTAAACTGCAATTCCTAAGGAGTCATTTCGTATGACTTTTAATCAAAATGGTCATATGGATGAACATATATTCTTTCATGATAATCAGGAAATAATGATTATACCTAACAATTAGGTTCGTCCATACACAAATTGATTATAGGATCGTACATATGAACATGTATATGTCAAGACGATCTTTGAAAAAATAACTGCACTTGGAATTCCCTCCATATTTGTACATAAAAAATGAATAGTTTATACAATATGATGATGTGTTCGTATAATACGATATGTTTATAAAAACATAATTTAATCTTTCAAACTCAGGAAAATTATCATGTAAAATCTAGTGATTTTGTATAGCATGAAAGTGATTCGTATAGTACGAATAGAAAAAGAATTTTTCGATTTACACATGATAATCATAATTTTTGTCCAAAAATAAAATAGATCATTAGGATCCATGAGACACAAAAATAAAAACAAAATACTATAAAAGATAAAATAAACTAAAATAGAGAAAAATACAATCAAACAAAAGACAAATCACACATAATGAACAAAACATAAACTTCAACTAAAAGATACATCATAATAGGAAATTGTAGAATTATAATTTTTAAGCATGAATATAAATAACACCCAATCTAGTTCTTAAGGTGCTAAACATTTCAAAAGTAAGTGGTTTTATAAAAATATATGCAAGTTGATTTTCAGTAAGTACATGATGTAGCTCAATTTATCCTTTAGTGACATGGTCTCTAATGAAGTGATCTCTTATATCTATATGATTTGTTCTAGTATTGAATATGATTCTTTGAAATATACATGACACTTATATTATCACAGAAAATTAGATTAGTGCCAATTAAAAATCCTAAATCCTTAAGTTATTATTTTAACCAAAAAAATCTATGTCACATAACTACCTAAGACAATATATTTTACTTCAATAGTAGAAAGGGCTACTGAATTCTATTTTTTTCTAGACCAGAAAACTTAAGAGTTTCTAATAAATTGATAAGTTCCAGAAGTACTGTTTGATCAACTCTACATCCTGCAAAATTTGAATTAGAATATCCAATGATTTTAAAAGAAGAGATGTGTCTAGGATACCATATCACTAAATTTTGAGTTCTCAAAATATATCTTAAAATTATTTTAACAACATGAGATGGGATTCCTTTAGATCAGCTAGAAATCTAGCATAAAGTCAAACACTAAACATGATATCCAGTCTACTAGCTGTTAAGTAAAGTAATGTTCCAATTATTTCTCTAAATTCTTTTTTATCAATAAATTTGCCTTTAGAGTCCTTATCTAATTACACTAAGAAACTCATTGATGTACTTATTAGTTTAACTTTATCAATTTTATATTTGTTAAGGATATCCTTTATTAATATATTTTAACTGACTAAAAAATTTGCCATTCTCTTTTTTGCTTTATGCTAAAATTAAGAAAGCAACTCAAGTCTCCTATCAAACTCATTTAAAATTCACTACTCTTTCTTTTTGAAAGATCATTACAAAAATTTTTATTAGTGGATCTAAATAAGATATCATCAACATATATTTGAGTAATGAGTCATCTTCTACTCTTTTTAAGAAGAGAGTGATGTCCACACTTTCTTTAATAAATGATCTTTCTAGTAAAAATATGCTTAGCCTTTTATACCATGCCTTAGGTGTTTATTTTAATCCATATAATATATTTTTTATTTCAAACATATGTTTAAAGAATTATAAATTTTCAAATGTTAGAGGATGCTTAATATAAATATCCTCTTGTATCACCTTATTAAGAAAAGCACTTTTAACATTCATTTGAAATAATTTAAAAATTTTAAAATAGATAAAGGCTAGTAGTACCCTTATCACTTCAAGTCTATCCACAGGGGTAAACGTTTCCTCAATATCAATTCCTTCTATTTGATTATATCCCTTGGCCACCAATCTTGCTTTATTTCTAACCACTACACCTGAATCATTCACCTTATTTTTGAAAACCAGCTTAATTCCAACAGCAATTTGATTTTTAAGTCTTTCAATCAACTCCCAAACATCATTTCTAATTAATTAATTTAATTCTTCCTACATGACAAAAATCCAAAACTCATCAAAAACTGTTTGATTAATATTAGTTGATTCAATCATTGAAATAAAGGCTGTGTGATTCAGTTATTTGTTAAGGCCATGCCTAATTCTAACACCTTTACTTAGTTCAACTAAAATCAATTCTTTAGGATAACTTTTAAAATATTTCCATTTTATAGGAAATGCATTTTTCTATTTTAACACTTTCTTTAAGATTTGCATTTTTAATTCCTTAGATTATTTCTTCAACATCTTCTTCTTTCAACTTAGACCATCCAAAAATATTATATTCATAAAAAACTACATGAGTGGTCTCCTCAACTTCTAAAGTCCTTTTGGTAAAAACTCTATAGGATTTGCCAACATTTGAATATCCCAGAAAAATTTTCTAATCAGATTTAGGTTCAAATTTTTCTAAATTTTTTTTACTATTATTATGAATAAACACCTTACATCCAAAGACATATAGATGTGAGAGGTTGGGTGTTCTTCCCTTAAGAAGTTCATAGGGTGTCTTGTTCAACTTAGATCTAATATTTACCCTATTCAAAACATAACAAGCCATACTAATCACTTCAGCCCAAAAATATTTTGAAAGTGAATATTTAGTTAACATTGCTCTAGTAGCTTCTATCAAAGTTCTATTATTCCTTTCAACAACCCCATTCTGTTGAGGAATCCTATGAGCTAAAAAGTTATGATCGATTTCTTGCTCTTTATAGAAAACTTTAAAATTTTTTATTTTCAAATTCTCCTTGTGATCACTTTGAATTAAAAGAATTTCACAAACTAGATTCCTCTGAATCCAAGTAAAATAAAATTCTAAATTTATCAAATGATTCATTCTTTTGTGAGAAGAATCTAATTTGAGTGAATCTTGAATAATCATCAATAATTACATACCCAAAAACTTTTTCTCCTAAACTTATAATGCTAATTAGTCCAAAATGATCCATATGAATTGCTTTTAATGGTTTTCTAGTTTTAAGATCCTTTGAATTAAAGGAGGATTTGACTTATTTTCCTAATTGATATGTATCACATAGGTGATCTTTAGTGAAGTCTAAGTTGGATATTTCTCTATCCAATTCTTTTTGGATAATCTTCCTAAGATTTTTCATGCTTGCATGATAAAATCTTTTATGTCATAACCAAGATTCATCAGTGATAGTTTTGAGAAAAAAAGTTTTAGAAGATTTAACATAATTTATATTAAGAATTTATACATTATTTATCCTATTTTCATGCAACACATCAACTCTATTTGGCTTATAATGTAGCTTATAGGTAAAAATTTAATTTTAAAACCCATATCACAAAACTGACTAATACTTAATAAGTTATGCTTTAGGCCTTTAACTAAAAAAAAAATATTAATAAAGAAATTATTCTTATTATTAATCATACATGTACCTACCACTCCCCTAGCGGTATTATCTTCTAGCTTCACTTTGCCTCCGACCTTGGTCTATACTGATATAAATTAAGTTGTATCTCCAGTCATATGTTTCAAACATCACTGTCCAAG